AGACGGGGTTTCACCATATTGGCCAGGCTGGTCTCAATATCCTGACCTCGTGATGTGATCTGCCTGCCCCAGCCTCCCAAAGTGCTGGGACCACAGGCGTGAGCCACCATGCCCGGCCTCCCTGGGATGTATCTGGCAGGTGTAAGGGACTCCCAGCCCAGGGGAATGCAGTGAAGACTACTCAGCCTTGGTGGAGTGGGTACCAAGAGGAGGTCAGCTCTGGGGGACGGGAGCGCAAAGGTGCGGAGCCTTGAGAAAGCAAGGGGAAATGAGTGAGTATAGAAGGGGCCTGATAAAAGGCAGAGTATTGAAATCTCTGTTCTTGATGCATGGCTCTAATCTCTCCTAAATAGTCTTAATGAGAGCCAGTACTTACTGAGTTCTTTCTTTGCACCACTCCTAAACACTTTACATATATTAAAGTGATTATTCAATAACTTTATTAGATATATGTGCATATATATTTGTTTTTGAGACAGTGTGTTGCTCTGTCACCCAGGCTGGAGTGCAGCGGTGCAATCACAGTTCACTGTAACCTTAACCTCCTGGGCTCAAGTGATCCTCCTACCTCAGTCTCCCAAGTAGCTGGGACTACAGGCATGGGTCACCACACCCAGCTAATTTATTTTAATTTAAATTTTTTGTAGAGGCAGGGGTCTTATTAAGTTGCCCAGGCTGGTCTTGAACTCCTGAGCTCAAGCGATCCTCTTGCCTCAGCCCCACAAAGTGCTGGGATTACAGGCATGAGCCACTACTCCTGGCCTAAATATATATTTTCATCCTCATTTTAAAGATGAGAAAATGGAGGCACAGAGAGATTAAGTAACCTGGCAAGGGTGGCACAGGTAATAATGGCAAAGCTAGGATACAAATCCCGATGGTTGGTTGGGCATGGTGGCTCTTGTCTGTAATCCCAGCACTTTGGGAGGCTGAGGCAGGAGGATTGCTTAAGCCCAACAGTTTAAGACCAGATCTGGGCCAGATGTGATGGCTCACACCTGTAATCCCAGGATTTTGGGAGGCCAAGGCAGGCGGATCACGAGGTCAGGAGATCGAGACCATCCTGGCTGACAGGGTGAAACCCCGTCTCTACTAAAAATACAAAAAATTAGCCAGGCGTGGTAGCGGGCGCCTGTAGTCCCAGCTATTCAGGAGGCTGAGGCAGGAGGATGGCGTGAACCTGGGAGGCGGAGCTTGCAGTGAGCCACTGCACTCCAGCCTGTATGACAGAGTAAGACTCTGTCTGGAAAAAAAAAAAAAAAAAAAAAAAAAGACCAGATCTGGCAACATAGTGAGACCCCCATCTCTATTAAAAAAAAATCAAATCTACTGGGCGTGGTGGCTCACGCTTGTAATCCCAGCACTTTGGGAGGCTGAGGCAGGCGGATCACGAAGTCAAGAGTTTGAGACCAGCCTGGCCAACGTGGTGAAACCCTGCCTCTACTAAGAATACAAAATTAGCTGATCGTGGTGGTGGGCGCCTGTAATCCCAGCTACTTGGGAGGCTGAGGCAGGAGAATCGCTTGAACCCAGGAGGAGGAGGTTACAGTGAGCCAAGATCGCGCCACTGCACTCCAGCCTGGGCGACAGAGCAAGACTCTGTCTCGGAAAAAAAAAAAAAAAAAAAATCAAATCTAGACAGTCAGAAGTGGTAGCGCCCTATGCCAAAAATGAGCTTCACCATTAGGCTCTAGTATCTGTAGTCATTCAATCTCTGTAAACCTCAGTCTTCTCACTGTGAAAAGTCTGCCTCTCAGCATTGTTGTAAGGATTGGATGAGAGCACACAATAGGTTGTCAGTATGTGGGGACAGTCCCCCTTTTCATGGTCAGATGTTAAGGTTCAGCTACTTGGACTTGGAGTCTGGGGGCCAGAGAAAGTTAGCTCTCTGCTTGGGCCACCTGGGCTAGGGAAACCGGCCTAGGGGCAAGCCTCCCACAGTGAAGCTGTGTCTCCCTGTCTCAATTTCCACTCCCCAGTAGGCTCACATTTCCCTGCTCACTCTATTTTCGTTGGCCCAAGAGGACGTGCCCCAGGGAAGTCCAGGGATCAACCACATGGACTCCCTGTTCCTGTTCCCTATCTGTCCTTCCCCCTCCCTGGGAAACAGGTGTGTCTGAACTGGGGCTGGAAGCAGAGCCTGAGAGCCGGATCCTGTTGTCCCTCACTCACCCTAGAGGTCCCCACACACACTTCTTTATCTCATGCTTAGGGCACCCCTGTTGTTTTTTCACTCTGCAAGGTTTTTCAACAGGAGGCCCTGGGTGGCTACTGACAGGCCTCTCATGGTTTCCTCTGGGTGCTGAATCACTCTCTGACGCCTGTAACCACAGGCCCTCCTTCCCCCTAGTGAGAACACAGCCTTTCTTCTCTGGGTGTATTGCTCACTCTTACTGGCTGCCTAGAGCCCTTGAAGGCCTCAAGGCTTTGTAGATAACCTCTTCCAAATTGTATTTTTAGTGGAGACGGGGTTTCACCATGTTGGCCAGGCTGGTCTCGAACTCCTGACCTCAAGTGATCTGCCCGCCTCAGCCTCCCAATATGCTGTGATTACAACCATGAGCCACTGTGCCTGGCCGCCTAGAAACTTTCCTTGTGACTCCAAGCTGGACATTGAATTTGTGGGTGGAGAGGGTGAAATAAGTAAGTGACTTTCACAGAGCTTGGGAAGTGGGAAGGGCAGAGCAAGAATTAATGTAGTTAAATGTTGACTGTGTGAAGGGCACCATGCCATGTGGTAGTCATTACCTCCTTCTGTCCTCACAAAAAACAGATGAGGTGGTTATTATTATCATCATCATCATCACCATTTGACAGAGTAAGACAAGCTCAAAGAGTTTGACATCATGGCCTCAAATCACAAGACAATAGGTGATAGATGTAAAGGCAGGGCTGACACCAGGGTCCCCCTGTCTAATGTACAGAGCTAGTTTCTCTTGGGTATACTGGTCACCCAGTGTCTTCTTCAGGGGAAGAGGCAGGAGTAGCTGGGGCTGCCACCTAGTCACCTTGCCTGATAGTTCATCTTCTTAATAGAAATGAGGCTGGAAAGGTGAGCACCGGCAGATTATAAAGGGCCTTGTCTTCCAATGATAAGTGATACATGAGATGGAATTTTGTTAATGCAGGAGGCCCTAAATGGGCAAGGTTCAAACCCATACTTTCAGCTCTTTCATGCCCACTGGTCGACTGGACTGGCATTTCTGGGGACTAAGGAGAGGATTTCCCTAGAGCTCCTGAACTAGAAGAGTTACCCCTGTCATGAGAAATGGGTGCAGTTATACACCCTGTTTCATGTGGTGGAAAAGAAACCAAATGCCTCTGGAATGCTCTACTGTGCCCAATCCTAAACTTAAAAGCAGGTTTAGTAATAATAAAAATAACAATAGTAACTCCATTTTATTGTGAACTTGCTAAGGAATAAAAACAGCATTAAGCACTTTAAACATATTTCATTTCATCATCAAAACAGTCCTGTGGGTACAGTATTATTATTACCTCAGTTTTACAGATGGGGAGATGGAGGCTCAGTGAATCGAACTTCACCTTGACTGGGGTGGCATCAGAACACACCTCATGGGTCACTACCTTGTACTGCCTCTGATTCTCATATCGTCAACCAGCTATTCCCTTGGGGATGTGAGGGACTCGGAACTTTATAGCTATTGTCACTGGGTGATTCCCTTCTATGCTCTTTACAGATATGACTCCTCAGTTCAACTGTGAGCTCTTGACAGCAATATGAGGCAAGAAGTGCATGTTGTTGTTATCCTCATTTTATGCTTGAGAAAAATGATGCTCATTAAAGTCAAGAAACCTGCCAAAAATCACACAACCTGTAAGTGAGTGGCAGAGCCAGGTATGGTTTTAAGGTCTCTTGTCTCTCTATAGAATGTTTTTTCCAGTACACGGTTGTAGAGGAGCAAGAAATGAACAGGTCAGATGAATGACGTTTATATAATGTCCTGAGTCACAGAAAAGAATAGTGGCATAGGGCCTCTGGGGGCCGGTGGCAACACAAATTATGGGAAGGTTAGGGGAGGAAATGTCCTGTTACGGAGATAAAATTTCTCAGGAAGTAATAGTTGTCAGCCCTCTTCTTGACACAGATACATCACTAAAAATGTAGATTTCCTTTGTAGGTGTAAATTTATTTCTACAAAAGGAAGGACAGCTTTTCAGAGCAACTCTTGTGTCTGCAGTTTCTCAGCATAACCAGCTGAAAGAAATAAGCCAGAGAAATATATATTTTGGGGTGACATATTCTGGCCTCCCACAGTCATATTTTGGAGTGGCGTGTCCTGAGCCCCAACACTGTTTTTTGTTGTTGTTGTTGTTTTTTGAGACGGAGTCTCACTCTGTTGCCCAGGCTGGAGTGTAATGGCGCAATCTCCGCTCACTGCAACCTCTGCCTCCCAGGTTCAAGTGATTCTCCTGCCTCAGCCTCCCGAGTAGCTAGGATTACAGGTGCACGCCACCACGCCCAGCTAATTTTTGTATACTTTTTTTTAAGGAGTGACGGGGTTTCATCATGTTGGTCAGGCTGCTCTTGAACTCTTGACCTCGTGACCCGCCTGCCTCGACCTCCCAAAGTGCTGGGATTACAGGCGTGAGCCACCGCCCCTGGCCAGCCCCAACACTGTTAAATCCGAAAATCCGCTTTAAACTGCTCTAGCTTTAAACATACCGCCTAAATACAGCAACCCGTGCCGAGCCGTAAGTGACCGCACATGCGCACACTCCGAGCCCAGCTCAGACGGAGGCCAGTGCCAGCCACGTGTTTCCAAGTGCCCACGCGGACCGAGCGCGAAGGCGAGATCTGGGTAGCGTGGAGAGGCGCTAGCGAATAACAACTGGTTCTTGGAGAGTCACGAGACTAGATCTAGGAAACTACACTTCCCAGAAGCAGCCTGCGGTGACTGCCTGTGTTGGATGGCGTACATCCGGAAAGCCGGCTCCGGATAGGTTGCTTAGAGGAAGTGGGCGGTTCTAAACCACCGGCGGCTAGGCCTGTTTCCGGTAGGAATTAGTGGATTCGGCGGCAGAGGCAGTGCGGGTCCGCCGTTGTCCAGTGAGTTTTACCAAGGCTGCATAGAGATGGCGGCGGCTTTTCGAAAGGCGGCTAAGTCCCGGCAGCGGGAACACCGAGAGCGAAGCCAGGTAGGACCACACAGGCCCCACGAGTGCTGGCCCTTGTCGCCATGTGTTACTCTCTCCCCAACCCTGTCGCCACTGTGGGATCCGGGTCCAAACTGTATATAAATGCACGCAAATGTATGCTAATGACGCTGGTGTGTCTGGGGCGGAGCTTCGTGGGAACGAGTGGAGGGGATTTGTCGTTTCCGTTCTAGGAAGAGCAGGGTTGCTCCCCTTTCCTTGGGGATATAAAAGCTACTCTGGAAGATTTCAGTGTGGTGATTGAGTAAGATAATGTCTGTCAAGTGCCTGGCCTTTTCTGAGGAGTTGAGGTCAGAGCTCATATAGGCAAAACTGCCGGGCTGAAATTGGATCCCATGTCTAATGCTCAGCTCCGCCTGCTGCATATGGGGGTCCTGACCGAAGAGACTGTCCTTACTAATGTGTTATCATCATCACACTGGGCTTGTGGTTCATGAAGATCTGCCACATGTGCTATTTGTTTATGTCTTACCCCTTAATGTTGGCCTTTTCCATTCCCATTATACAGATGAGGAAACTGAGGTCCAGAGTGATGACTTGTCCAGTTACAAACACCAGATTCAGGCAGAGTAAACAGTTCTAGGATTTCTATGGTGGGTGCGTCTGTGTAGGGAGGTTGAGTAGAAATAAGCTTATATGCAGAATCAATTGAAACACTGTCAGGAATCCTGTGCTTAATATCTGATTCAGAAAGGCCCTTAGCATACGTGTGTGCTCCATCTTAATTTTACAGATGAGGAAGAGAGGGGAAAGAGTTGTGCAGCTGACTGATGGGATAGAACCAAGGCCTCTTAACTACAGTTCAGTCTTCCTGCTTAATAGCATATATATCACACTTTTTTTTTTTTTTTTGAGATGGGGTCTCGCTCTGTTGCCCCGGTTGGAGTGCAGTGGTACAATCTCGCCTCACTACAACCTCCGCCTCCCAGGTTCAAGCGATTCTCCTGTCTCAGCCTCCCGAGTAGCTGGGACTGTAGGTAGGCACTACCATGCCCTGCTAATTTTTGTATTTTTAGTAGAGATGGGGTTTTGTCATGTTGTCCAGGCTAGTCTCGAACTCCTGACCTCAGCTGATCCACACACCTTGGCCTCCCAAAGTGCTGAGATTACAGGCATGAGCCCCTGCACCTGGCCAAAACTATCACCTTTTGAGCACTTTCTATATGCTAGGCACAGCCCTGCATTTTACAAATGAGGAATCTGGTGCTTAAAGATTAAGATTGAATAGTATATCCAAAGTCACAGTTGTAAGTAGTGGAACTGGATTAGCAGAGAAAACAGAGGGCTTTCAAAGCTGGCTGTGGACATGGCGTGGACATGGCATGGCCATGGCTGAGTAGGAACGGAAGGCCTATGTGGAAGAGGTGAGAAAAAGGCCATCCTGAAAATGTGGGTAAACCATTGACACAAACGTTCCATATTTGAGTCGTTTGGACTTTATCCTGTAGATCCTTCAGTAGGGCAGTGGAGGAGCTACTGAAGATATTTTATATGGAAGGTGTATGTGTTATTATGTAAACTGTTTTAGATCCAATACCAGGTTTCCTTCTGTAATGCGGGTGTACATTCAGGTGGACATGAGAGATTTCAAGAGTTCTGCCTCACCTCATGTTGTTGCTCTTTTGACCCTTTAGCTTGCTTTCTCTACTCTGTCAACCTCCCTTTGTCTACTGTAATTAAAGTTAAAATTATTGGGGGAGGTTTGGTGTTATTTTACTTATTTTTTTGAGATAGTGTCTCCCTCTGTTGCCAAGGCTGGGAGTGCAGTGGGGCAATCACGACTCACTTCAGGCTTGAGCCACTCACTCAAGCCATTCTTTTGCCTCAGCTTCCTGAGTAGCAGGGACCACAGACGTGTACCGTGACACCCAGCTAATTTTATTTTATTTTTTTAATTTGTGGAGATGAGGTCTCACTGTGTTGCCCAGGTTGGTCTCGAACTTCTGGGCTCAAGTGATCTGCTCATCTCAGCCTCCCAGAGTGCTGGGATCGCACGTGTGAGCTTGGCCTTAAATAGCTATTTGTTGCATCACTTGAAGGATAAAAGATGAGAAAGATGACTGTTAAAAATCCTACCCAAATTAGGCCGGGCGCAGTGGCTCACGCCTGTAACTGCAGCGGTTTGGAAGGCCAAGGTCAGGAGATGGAGACCATCCTGACCAACATGGTGAAACCCTGTCTCTACTAAAATACAAAAATTAGTGGGGCATGGTGGTGCACACCTGTATTCCCAGCTACTCGGGAGGCTGAGGCAGGAGAATAGCTTGAAGCCAGGAGGCGGAGGTTGCAGTAAGCCAAGATCGCACCATTGCACTCCAGCCTGGCGACAGCAAGACTCTGTCTCAAAAAAAAAAATCTTACCCAAATTATTATTATACAAATTTTGTTTGTTTGTTTTTTTGAGACGGAGTCTCGCCCTGTTGCTCAGGCTGGAGTGCAGTGGTGCGATCTTGGCCCACTGCAACCTCCGCCTCCCGTGTTCAAGCAATTCTCCCGCCTCAGCCTCCCGAATAGCTGGGATTATAGGCACTCGCCATCATGCCCAGCTAATTGTTGTATTTTTGTGGAGACGGAGTTTCACCAGGTTAGCCAGGCTTGTCTTGAACTCCTGACCTCAGGTGCCCCACTCACCTTGGCCTCCCAAAGTGCTGGGATTACAGCATGAGCCACTGCACCCAGCCTATTATACAGGTTTGCAACACTAGAGAAGTGTGTGCATTTCCCAAAATGTTAACATTATTTGCAACAGAAGAGAACTCAGTCTACTGTGATGGCCCCAGGGAGAATGGGTTCTAGTTTTGGCTCTGCTGCTTATTAGTTCTGTGTTCTTGGGCGTATCATTCTCTAAACGTCATTCTCTTTATGGAAAACTGGGGTAGCAATAGTGCCTGTTTCACCTTCTTTACAAGGTTGTTGTGGGGATTAAATGAAATTGTGTAATGAGCATAGCACATTGCAAGACCCTAACATATACTAAGTGCTCAACAAATGGTAGTATGTAGAAAGATCATACCAAGATCTAATCCTTATACCTTCCGTGCTCTCCAAGCCTATGTCAGAGAAAGGACTTTCTGTCATACTTTTGTCTCATACCTAGTACCACAGGTATAATAATGATAGGAAACTCATGCTGGACAGCTGCTATGTGTCAAGCCATGTGCAGCCATTACCACTTACACGAGCTCCTTGAATCTTCAGGATAACACGGAGAAGCAGGTACTATTTTCATGTTACAGTCAGGAAATAGCTGTTCAGAGAAGTTAAGTGACATGCCCAAGGTCACAGATTGTTCAGAGATAAAACTTGGATTTGAACCCACATCTCCAGACTCTAAATTTAGCTCCCTTACCACAGTTGCCTCCCTGTTACTATGTTTTCCCTTTGTAGTATTTTATAAACCCTTGGATTAAGTTGGTAGTAATTTTAGTACAACTGGCAACTGCTTGCTTAGTGCCGAGTCATTGTTGCCTCTCTCTGTCCTTAATAGGCCAAGAAACCTACTACAGCAGTGCTTGTGACCTGTCTGGTGCTGGCAGGGTCCCTGTCATCCTTGGGCAGAGCCCAGTTGTGGGGAGGGGAGGGGGCAGGGTCATGGGTTAGCTCCAAGGACTGGATTTACTGAGCGCTTCAGAGACTGTTACGTGTCATGTTGATTTGGATATGTGTTCGCGGAGGAAACTAAGCAATGTTGTTTTTTCTTTTGTCTTCTAGCCTGGCTTTCGAAAACATCTGGGCTTGCTGGAGAAAAAGAAAGATTACAAACTTCGTGCAGAGTGAGTTCAGTCTTTCTGGTAGAGGTGCTGCCAAGAAGCTTACAACCTCCTTGCACTGCAGCTGAATTGCCTGAGTGTCCAACAGGGGATAATTTCCTGCCATTGATAAAATGACCAGAGCTCTGGCAGCCTGTCAGATAATTTTTTCTCTGACCCTAAATTTCTGTCTTTGTTTAGGCAGATTATTATTTATTTAACTGTAGTTGCATTGTGAATTATTTGTATTATGTTGTTCCAGATCATTTTCTCACAGTGGCTTTGATTTGGCTCTGCCTTGGTGTTTGAGCCCAAAGCTGAATCTTTTTTCTCTTTGTTTTCTTGAAGTGCAAGATATAATCTGAAATTCCATTTGTTGAGTCTCTTACATACCATGTGTGTGGTGTGGAATGAAGAGATGTGAAAGATGGATTCATGAGACCAAGCGTGGGTGATAATGAACTCTGAAAGCATTTTATAAAACAATTATCCCCATTCTTCTTCTCTATTAGCACTTTATTTGCAAAATACTTCTTAATTATTTGTTAGCCGTACATGTCAGCTGGGGTCCTTTTTTTTTTTTTTTTCTTTGAGATGGAGTCTTGCTCTGTCGCCCAGGCTGGAGTGCAGTGGCCAGATCTCAGCTCACTGCAAGCTCCGCCTCCCGGGTTTACGCCATTCTCCTGCCTCAGCCTCCCGAGTAGCTGGGACTACAGGCGCCCGCCACCACGCCCGGCTAATTTTTTGTATTTTTAGTAGAGACGGGGTTTCACCATGTTAGCCAGGATGGTTTCGATCTCCTGACCTCGTGATCCGCCCGTCTCAGCCTCCCAAAGTGCTGGGATTACAGGCTTGAGCCACTGCGCTTGGCCAGCTGAGGTCCTCCTTATGCCCCTGGTCTAGATGGTGGTGATGGATTAAATGAGTTTCTGTAGGTCCCAGAGATTTTAAGCCTAATGATAATTAAGTGTTGTTATTGGGCCAGGCAGTGTTCTAGGATATTTTACCATTTTTACACTGATTCGTCCCTCCCAACAACCTTCTGGGATAGGTTACTATTATTGTGTTCATTTTACAAGTGAAATTGGGATGCAGGATGATTTGATAACTTATCCAAGGTTACTTAGCCAGAAGTTGTCAAGTCCAGATTTGAACGCATGCTGTCTGGCTGCAGAGTCCATGATTCTAGTCATTGTGCTATACTGTACTGTGTAGTTTCTGAGTTATATGTGGTCATCTGGCGCCCAAGCTTGCACCATATCCTGTCTAAGGACTTTTAATTTGTACTTTGTTTGGTGTTTCCCTGTAATGATATAAATGGCACTGAAACACATGTGGGCTGGGGACAGTTAATTTCAGGTTCCACTGGAGTAGGAACTGTTGATTAGCTTGTGGACCCTGCGAAGCGTGAGCTCAGCTCAGTGACAGTGGAGCGTCCATCAGATCCAGTCACTGCTTTGGCTTTTTTGAGTTTCGCTCTGTGTGACCTTTTAGATGCTTGTAAAGTTTGCTTATTGTGGGTTTTGGTTTTTAAAAATTATCTTTTTGTTTTTTGCTATGAACCTCATTTAACCTGTCTTTTAGTGACTACCGTAAAAAACAGGAATACCTCAGAGCTCTCCGTAAGAAGGCTCTTGAAAAAAATCCAGATGAATTCTACTACAAAATGACTCGGGTTAAACTCCAGGTGGGTGCCCAGTGGTGTTTTTTTTTTTTTTTTAATTGAGACAGAGTCTCGCTCTGTTGCCCAGGCTGGAGTGCAGTGGCGCCATCTCTGCTCACTTTGCAAGCTCCGCCTCCCGGGTTCACGCCATTCTCCTGCCTCAGCCTCCCGAGTAGCTGGGACTACAGGCGCCCGCCACCTTGCCCGGCTAATTTTTTGTATTTTTTAGTAGAGACGGGGTTTCACCGTGTTAGCCAGGATGGTCTCGATCTCCTGACCTCGTGATCCGCCCGCCTTGGCCTCCCAAAGTGCTGGGATTACAGGCGTGAGCCACCGCGCCCAGCCTTGGTTGGTGTTTTGAGCTCCCCACGTTGGAAAATAAGGACAGAGAGGAGATGGAGAGGAAGGATCCTTGGCCTTAATTTAACCCTTCTCTGGTTACTCCAGGTGCTCTTGGTCAGTGTCCAAGGCAAACCTTCTACTTCCAGAGGAGCGTGCATTTCTGCCTTTGATTGTGGGTTATCTTGCACCCGGAGCTGTTCTAGGGTAGATGACTGGCGGTGCCACACTGAACGTGTGCCTCAGGGGCCTGTGTCTAGGATTGCTGTTAGCATACAGCATTTGATTGTCTTTTTTTTGTTTTGTTTTGTTTTGCTTTGAGATGGAGTCTCTCTCTGTCGCCCAGGCTGGAGTGCAGTGGTGCGATCTCGGCTCCCTGCAACCTCTGCCTCCTGGGTTCAAGTGATTCTCGTGCCTCAGCCTCCCAAGTAGCTGGAACTACAGGCACACACTACTGTGCCCAGCTAATTTTTTGTATTTTTAGTAGAGAAAGGGTTTCACCATGTTGGTAAGGCTGGTCTTGAACTCCTGACCTCGAGTGATCTGTCCATCTTGACCTCCCAAAGTGCTGGGATTACAGGTGTGAGTGACCGCACTTGGCCTATGGTTGTCTTTGTTCTAGATTGATGGCACATGCACTGTGCCAACAACTTATTAATGATTTTTAATGTAATAGGGAATATATCTTTTAAATTTGGATTTTAGGATGGAGTACATATTATTAAGGAGACTAAGGAAGAAGTAACCCCAGAACAACTAAAGCTGATGAGAACTCAGGACGTCAAATATATAGAAATGAAGAGGGTTGCAGAAGCTAAGGTAATTCATTCTTTGTTCTGATTCGTTTTATTGGTTAAGAAAGGAAACTTAAATATATCAATCTCAAGGTATTTGTTAATTTCTTCTGGCATTTACAATCTTGATTGTAATAATGATTTAGAAGTATAGTTAGCATGGTAGAGTGGAAAGAGTTCAGGTTTGGAAATGACACAGACCTAGGTTTGAGTTCTGGCACTGCCAATTACTAGCCTCATGACAATGGGCAAATTCAACTCCCTGAGGCTCTTCCCTCATTTCTGTCTCAGGGGACTGTTACAAGGATTAAGTGCATCCTGGGAAGTGCCCAGTACCTGATATGTGTTGGGATTCTTTCCTTTAAAAGAATAAAGCAAGTTCTTTGCTGGCTGGCAATAATGATGTGAAATGGTTTAAACTTTTGCAGTTTTTTTTTTTTGGTACCCCAGAAGAATCTAATATAAAGTGAGACCATATTTTGTGTTGTAGAAAATTGAAAGACTAAAATCAGAGCTCCATCTGCTGGATTTCCAGGGGAAGCAACAGAACAAGCATGTGTTCTTTTTTGACACCAAAAAGGAAGGTATGAAATGTTTGAAGGTTTCTGGGACAGTCTACCATGCCAGTCTGTGTCGTTTGGTGTTAGAAACAGACAGTGCCTTAAGGATTGTCTTGAATTTTAGTTGAACAGTTTGACGTTGCAACTCACCTGCAAACAGCCCCGGAGCTAGTCGACAGAGTCTTTAATAGGCCCAGGATAGAGACCTTGCAGAAAGAAAAAGTGAAAGGAGTTACCAATCAGACTGGACTTAAGGTAATTTTATCTGTTGTTATTCACATGTGAGTTTAGGGGAATCTAGGTGGTTTTTTTTTTTTTTGGATTTTTTTTTGTTTTTGTTTGGTTTTTTTTTTTTGCCACTGCATTTAAAAGAATTTTTAAAATTTATTTTACTTTATTTTTTAGTCAGAGTCTGACTGTCTCCCAGGCTGGAATGCATTGGTGCGATCTTGGCTCACTGCAACTCCGCCTCCTGGGTTCAAGCAATTCTCATGCCTCAGCCTCCCCAGTAACTGGGACTATAGGTGTGCACCACCACACCCAGCTAATTTTTGTATTTTTCATAGAGATGGGGTTTCGCCATGTTGGCCAGGCTGGTCTTTAACTCCTGACCTCAGTTGATCCACCTGCCTTGGCCTCCTGAAGTGTTGGGATTACAGGCGTGAGCCACTGTGGCTGGTCTCAGATAATTATTTATGGAATACTCATGAGTTCCCTTACAAAAGTGGATTTGTAGGAGGATTTGATGATGGGATGGAAATGGAGAAGGGCTCTCTGATTTCTATGATCAGAAGATGTGTGGTATAGTGGTCAGAAGCTTAGGTTCTGGCCTTTAACCTGAGTTTGAATCCCAATTCTGACCCTGCATTTTGTGCTTTTATACTTGTAACAAATGCCAGTGTTTTGAAAATGCAGAGAAAGGAATTACTGAAGATTAGAGGATTTGGAACTTTAATATTGAACCTTTAGCAGTGAATACGCACATCAAAAGCTCTTTGTGTGTTTTTATTTTTTTTGAGACAGGGTCTCACTGTCACCCAGGCTGGAGTGCAGTGGTGTGATTATGGCTCACTGCAGTCTCCACCTTCTGGGCTTAAGCGATCGTCCTGCCTCAGCCAACGGTACACACACCAGGAGGTGTGTGCCACCATGCCTAGCTAATTTTTAGTTTTTTTTTTGTAGAAACGGGGTCTCGCTAAGTTGCCGAGGCTGGTCTTAAACTCCTGAGCTCAAGTGTTTCCTTCTGCCTTGGCCTCCTGAAGTGTTGGGATTACAGGCGTGAGCCACCATGCCTGCCCAAAAGATCTTTCATATTGTGTATTGTAGCAAAAATTTTGTTTTGGCTTTTCCTTATGGTGCTTTCCGTCACTGTAACTAGGTTGTGCAGAAGACATGCTTTTCCTCAAAGCCTTCTGGAGTTGAACTCTTCTGACTGATTCATTAAAAAAAAATGCTGTCAATGTGTTTCAAGCAGACAGCTGTTCTGTTTTGATTTGAATCATTTACACCGCATCAGTTTTGCTTCCAATGTTTAATTTCACAGCAGTTTTCTCTAGCTCAGAGGCAGCTAAACTTGCTTTAGTAATATAAATACCCCTAATTAGTTTGACTATATTGGGTAATCCTATAAATCTGACAGTCTGTGCAATAAAGCGAAAACAAAAGCTGTCTGAAACCACTGCTGTGAGACTGTGCTAGAATCCGTGAATTGTTGAAGTCTGAGGCCCAGTAATATTTCCCTCTGTAGATAACACTTCCAGCCGAAGAGTTTGCTCACGAGTGTTCTTGTGATAACCCTGTTGTTTGTCAATTAGGTGTACTTTTTTTTTTTTTTTGGAGACGGAGTCTCACTTTGTCACCCAGGCTGGAGTGCAGTAGCACGATATCGGCTCACTGCAACCTCTGCCTCCTGGGTTCAAGCAATTCTCCTGCCTCAGCCTCCTGAGTAGCTGGGATTACAGACGTCCACCACCACTTGGCTAATTTTTTGTATATTTAGTAGAGACGGGGTTTCACCATTTTGGCCAGGCTGGTCTTGAACTCCTGACCTTGTGATCCACCCGCCTCAGCCTCCCAAAGTGCTGGGATTACAGGCGTGAGCCACCGCGCCCGGCAATTAGGTGTACTTTCAATTAGCCATGTCACTGACACTTCTCAAGAGTTGTGGTAGTCCCTAGAGAGATTAGTATTCCAAATTCCCATGTAGAATAGTTCATCAGCATAGCTTTTGAGAAGTTAGGGAGGTTTAGATTTTTGCCATTTTTGTCTAGTAGTGTTGTTTCTTTCTGTTTTGTTTACTGCAAAATTATTTTTATTAAGAGACTGCTGGTGGGTGGATTGCAAGGATATTTTGTCTGTAACTTGGAGTGGGTAGACAACCCATGAGTGAGCTTTAGGAGGTCTGTGAAAACCCCCCTTTCTCACTGGTATTTTGTGCAGATAGGTATGTGCTTGCACAACCTTTTACAAACGTGTATGTACATTTATCTCAAGAAAGATGCCAGGCTGGGCGTGGTGGCTCATGCCTGTAGTCCCAGCACTTTAGGAGGCCAAGGTAGGTGGATCGCTTGAGGTCAGGAGTTCGAGACTAGCCTAGCCAACATGGTGAAACCCTGTCTCTACTAAAAATACAAAAATTAGCCAGGCATGGTGGTGGGCGCCTGTAATCCCATCTACTAGGGAGGCTGAGGCAGGAGAATTGCTTGAACCCAGGAGGCGGAGGTTGTAGCGAGCTAAGATCATGCGATTGCATTCCAGCCTGAACTGTAGAGCAAGACTCTGCCTCAAAAAAAAAAAAAAAAAAAAAAAAAAGAAGAAAGATCCCAAAGCTTTCATCAGTTTCTCTAAGGTTGATGATTTCCCAAAACCTAAGGACCCTACTGATCTTTGAGGAGTCGTTAGCAGTGAGAATTCTCTGGTCAGCTTCTGCTGAAAAAATTATTGTGCTTTCTGAGTGGTAAGATTTTCAGGCACCAGCACACTGCCTGGGGACCTTCTGTTGCAGACTCTTCTGTTGCTCTCCATTCGCTTTGTGTAGGGTTTCCAACACTGATTCATTCCTGCTATCATCTCAGGTGACTGTGGCACTCACACAAAGGTTGAAGCAGCTTAGTGTAGTAGTGGAAGGATTCCTGGGATTTGTGAGAGGGGGACAGTCCTGACTCTGCTCCAGGTGAGCCATGTGTCCTTGGACCACTTACTTCTTCTCTGGGCCTCATTTTTCTGCATTTGTAAATGATGGGTTTTGATAAGATAGTCTACAGGGTTCCTTTTTTATTTAAAATTTTTTTTTTGAGACAGAGTCTTGTTATGTTGCCAATGCTGGTCTTGAACTCCTGGGCTCAAGTGACCCTGCCTCCTCAGCCTCCCAAAGTGCTGGGATTACGGGCGTGAGCCACTACATCTGGCCCAGGGTTCCTTTCAGCTGCAGAATGTGATGTTCCTAAAATGGGTAACTTTATTGTTACCATATTATGTTGATTCTGGCGAAAGGAGGGAGTTGATGAACTATGCAGTTGGCTTAAATGGATTAAGAAACAGTTTCTTACTCATTTTTGTCCTGTTCATTGTTCACTGAGAATGTGTGTGTTTCTTCTCCAGCGAATAGCTAAAGAAAGGCAAAAGCAATATAACTGCCTGACACAGCGGATTGAACGAGAGAAGAAATTGTTCGTTATTGCTCAGAAAATTCAAACACGCAAAGATCTTATGGTGAGGAGAGAGAGCCTTAGGCCTTTTTTTTTTCCCTTTTCTTTCTTGTAAAGGTCTTAACTCAGACTGGATTTCAGCTGTGTGTAAATCAACCCCAGTGAAAATGTCTGCTCCTCAGGGGCAGTGGTTTGAGCCAGTGTCTGTTACTCTGACAGTGTTGAAATGTGCCTTGATTAAGAAGGTAATAAGGGGGTTATTAGTCAGTGCTTTGGAACAGCAAAGGGTAGGATCGGGTAGCATATGAACTTTATAGCTTATGAGCAGCTCCCGTAACATTTAAACAGGTTAACAAAACAGTGCATGTCACTCATTGGTGTTTAAAAATAGACAACATTGTGTAGTTAAATAGCAGAGCTGAGGAATATAAGATGCCTCTTTCATATTCTTATCATTCCTCTAAATGTCAAATTCTTTAGCTTTGTAGATCATTTAGGTTAGCCTTTCTCAACTGGGGTTCCGTGAGAGAATTAAAATTATAATTTTAAATGAAACAAATACTTGAACGCCTTTCTTTTCAATTTTCCCAGGACTGTACATAGCTAGTACATTCTAGATGCCTAGGGGAGAAGTTAATTCATTGCCTACAGTGGATGCCTTGGGCAGTAGGGCTTTGTGTGTTCTCAACTTTGAAAAGGGCTGCTAATAGCTAGTTTATCAACCTTTCGATTTTACAAAACCATTTCCTTCTCTTTACTGATTACCTTTTTACTCTTTTTTAGGATAAAACTCAGAAAGTGAAGGTGAAAAAAGAAACTGTGAACTCCCCAGCTATTTATAAATTTCAGAGTCGTCGAAAACGTTGACATGTCATAGATAAGCCTCGTCGTTCTGCATCAAAAATCTGTTGCCTTTTTCTAGTAACTTCAAATTCCATTAGTCCAAATGGCATGGTTTGTAACCATAACTAAATTGTCAGTCTGACATTTAATGTCTTTCTGTGGACAACATTAAATCCCCCTCTCTTCTGTAATTGTTTTTGGTTTGTGAAATTAGTCTTATTTTTATATACATAATTTTTTTTTCCTTTGAGATAGGGTCTTTGTTGCCAGGCTGGAAGTGCAGTGTGTGATCATGGCTCACTGTAACTTTGAACTCCTGGGCTCAAGTGATCTTCCTGCCTCAGCCTCTTGAGTAGCTAGTACTACAGATGTGTGCCACCATGTCTGAGTAATGTTTAAATTTTATGCAGAGACCAGGTTTTGCCATGTTGGCCAGGCTGGTTTTGAACTCCTGGGCTCAAGTGATACTCCCACCTTGGTCTCCCAACGGGCTGGGATTGCAGGGTTGGGCCACTATACCCGGCCCAAAATTTTTTTATTATGAAACATAGGATCTCATTACAGCAGATTTGGAAAATAGATTAATTCATTCCTAATCCCAGTGCTTATTCAATAGTAACAAATATTTATTGCATAGTTAACTGTGCTAGGAGCTAGAGCTGTGGAGGTGGACAATTACTGTGAGTAGTCTAGTTGCTTTTCTCCATTTTGTAAAACGCATCACTTTTTGTCCATGTTTTTGTGTTTTGTAGTTACAGTAAACAACTTGATGTCCTACTTTTTAATTAAATCATTAGCTCTTTCCAAGTTTGTTACATCACAAAAATTTTTACAGTAATACGTGCTAGAGTAAACATTAAAATAAACATTATTTTTAATGATTGCATAGTGTTTTATCTAGTGGATAGACTGATTTTACCATCACTCATTCTTCTTTTATTAGCTATTCAAGTGGCTTCATAAATTATCCAAGGAGGAATTTTTTTCTCTCACTTAACAGCTGCAGATAGAAACTCTTGGAACAAGGAACCTACGGGAGCACCTCTTCTTTATTGATGAAGCCCAAATCAGAATAGGCCTGGCTGTGTCTCTGCCCTCTGCACTCCATGTCAACTCACAATTCCAAGGCCAGAATAGCTTGGTGCAGACCTTCACTCTGGGAATATGGACCTCTGGGTGTGTTAGCCAGCTTCTTTCTCTTCCCTGGTTCTCTCCTTCCTTTGTTTGCCCATGTCAGGATTATAGGCCAAGGCCAGTAAGGACAGGACTGAACATGCTTAGAGCAAACATGGGAGAACAGGGACCGGGGTTCTGGGGCTTGCTCAGCCCTTACCCCATGGAGGGAGAACAGCCATGTGTGGATTTTAAGGCTTTAAAAGAAATTTGTTAATAATAAGTGCCCGTGATAGTGAGGTTCCTGTACAAGCCTAGACTGGAAGCCTGTTTCCTCAGGGTGTACCCAGTGGAATTTACATCAGGGGCCTTGGAAAACAGGAAGGACCAGGAAACAGAAGCCAGTAGGTTTTGCCTTCAGGAAGGAAGTCCTTCCCATTGTGTGTGTGCACTCCCTTCTGGGGACGTGCTGAGCTCAGTCAGTGCTGACAGTTTGAGAGACTTGAGGATGAAACCAGGGAAGGGGCTCATCATGGTGATACTGGACAGAGGAGTGAGCAGACTAAGCAGCAGTCTGATCCGGGGGTCAAGCAGCTGGATGCTGCTACTCCGTCTTTTGCCCCTGCTGGATGGGAAAGTGGGGGAGAGGACAGGGAATAGACCTAAATGCCTCCTCACAAACCATACACCCACATGAAGGTAGGCTCGCCTCATGGAATCTCATGTTCATAGATGCACAAGGCACATATAACTCAGGCCTCATAAACAGGTACAGGCATACCTACACACCCTCTGGCATAGGAGCACAGTGACACTTGAAGAGGTGCGCTCCCAGGCCAAACAGAGCAGGAAAGTCCATCCTTTTGGTGTACTGTGAGTTCCAGGCTGAAGGGAATCGGAATGCTGTAAGGGGAGCTGGGTGTTCTGAATTGCTGTTGTACTGAGTGCTGTCTCCAAGGCTCGAGGATTTTAAGCAAAGAGACTGGCTGTCCCTGTGACTAAGCAAAGACGCCCCAGCCCCATGGATTCTGAGAATCGGCCAGGGCTTCGCTGCTTTCGTGCTCAGTGGGACCCCAGACTTGTTGGGGAGGGAAGAGTATTGTTTGCTTAGGATCCACCCTTCTTGGCCTAGGGGTGATTTGGGCTGTTGGTGGCATACTGCTCTAGCTGTGCCAAGGGGGCTGTGGGCAGCCTTTGGAGCTGGAGGGCTGTTCTGAGTCAGGACTTGTTTGGCTCAGGTCTCTTGTACAAACCAAGTCTCCAAATAGCAGCTCTATGATGATGTGGACCCTGCAGGTCTGTCCAACGGAGAGTTCAGTGAGCCTGGCTCAGTCTTAGTCTGTTGCCACATTCTTGGGCCCTTCCCACCAAAGTGGGAGAGTGTCAAGCCCTAGCTTTATTCTTGAATATGTTCATCTTTTTCTTTGAGATGGAGTCTCGCTCTGTCACCTAGGCTGGAGTGCAGTGGCGTGATCTTGGTTAGAGCAACCTCCGCCTCCTGAGTTCAAGCGATTCTCTTGCCTCAGCCTCTCTAGTAACTGGGATTACAGGCACAGAGATGGAGTTTCGCAGTGTTGGCCAGGCTGGTCTTGGAAGCCTGATCTCAGGTGATCCACCCCTCCTAGGCCTCTCAAAGTTCTGGGATTACAGGCATGAGCCACTGCTCCCAGCCAATCTTTTTCTGATTTCTAACTGCTTCCTGGTGCCAGGGTGGAAAAGGGCCCAGCAGGTGGAGCTGCTGCCTCTTTGCTGGGATTCCTTCTCAGGGACTTGGTGTCCACCCACCCAACACACTTGGCTTCTTCAGAAGTGTCCTTATACGGAGGTACTTGAATGTGTTTGCTTATTGAATTTAATGCCGGGGGGCGAGCGCCCATGAAGAAATGGGATTTTCTCACCCTGAGTTTGAGATGAGTGTGGCCCCAGGAGGAAGACTGGGCAGGAAGGTACTTTTCCTTCCTGTTTCTAGTGAGGACCATGTAGGGAGGTCTCCGTCACAGAGCCCCAAGTTTCCCATAGGGTGGTTCCACCCAGACCTGGGAGGGGTCTCCCTCTGTACAGCTTTAATCATCTGTTTATCGCTCACTGTCCTCTTCCCCCATGCTCCTCACTGTGGGGCACTGAGCAGTTAGAGCTGCACGTCCTCCAGCGGGGAAGGCAGCCAACAGATGCAGACTCGCTCTGCCTACCTGTGGAGGCCGATGAGGCCAGGGCCTGTTGGGACTTGAAACAGTGAGGCAAGTGGGTGTGTGGTGCTGGGCTCCCCCTTCAAGTTCTCCCAGCATGCCAGTTCCTGGAGCCTTATGTGCAGGGTGTTGGGGAAGGGCGGGCTGAACCGTGGGTGGGAGTCTTGGCTCAAAGCTGCAGGTGAGTGGAGGAATTGGGGGCGGACCTGAAGTACTGTCTTGAGGCAGAGCTGGCAGGCCTCTTGGGCTTGTGCAGCTGCCTCCCTGGGTCAGAGGGTGCGCTCTCTGTACCCAACTAGGGCTCCATAGATCTGTCTCAGCAAAAAGTGCAGGGAAGGATCAGAGAGAAACTGTGAAACAAAGGGAGGCAGAGCTTCCCTTCCTAAGCCTACTGCTGAGAGGTTGGAGTGTAGAGGAGGCCGCCTAGTTCATGCTTCTGCCTGTTCTTTCCTAAACTGCTCTGTCCAGAGGGAAGACCGTCTCCGCTGCTTCTCAGGCTCCCTGTAAGGGATCTCCCAGCTCCCTATTCCTGGATCCGTCATCATCACATTTAGGAAGTCTTGTCCAATCTACTTCTCCTAGGTGAAGCGTACACCTAGCTCTCCCTGTTCGTCTTGTCTGCTTCGCTTGATACAAAGGGAACAAACTGCTTGGGGGCTGGGGTGGTTGCAGTCCGGCCCTGTGCTCCTGCGTGGTGGTAGGAAAGGCTCGTCCAGAACGGAGCTAAGGACCCAGCTTTTTCTAGGCAAGAGGAATGTGTCAAGGGAACTGCTGTGTTTGGGGGTAAGCAGATGATGGAAAGGAAGCCCTTTCCCCTCCCCGCATCTGTCACCTGACGGCCATGCTCAGATCGGGTTAATGAAACTGTGGTGCCCCAGGCAGCTGGGCAGCCCCCCCTGCCCTGAATCCGCCTGACTCATTTACAGCTTTCTCCCAGTTACCCCAAAGGCTTCTCTCAGAGGTGACAAATGTAGGGGGTTGGTTTCGGGTTTCATGTTTTCACATTACTGGGTGGAAAAAAGAAAAAAAAAACACCTTTCCAAACCAAAAAAAAACCAGCTTCTATAGCAGAAACAACTTGTCCCGAGAGCACTGAAAATTTCCCCATCCCTCTCCTCATCTGCTCAGAGACGCTGAGACCAGTGATGGAGGGGTTAAGGGGAGGGGGTGGAGCCAGGCTGAGTGGAGTGTTGGGGACAGCCCCTTTGGAGGTGGCAGCACCTGCCTTCCTGCTTACAGACAGGGGAGGACCTTTGCAGGGCCCTCCAGCTGTGAAGCCTGTGGTCTCCAGTGCTCAGAGGTGGATTGCCAGGGCATGGGACAGTGAGCTCAGGGTGGTGAGGGACCAGGGAAGGAAGAGTCCATCTCCCCTCCCTAGCTAATTTGATCCCAGGAGGTCTGGGACAGGTGTCCCTCCCTAGCAGAGGGCTCTTGAGGTGGAGTGGTAGGTAAAATATAGAAGGTCCATCTGGCACATGGAGCCTAGGGGGCAGCACCCCCTCCTCTGCCTGGCTGGTAGCATTGTAGACCACCGCCGCCCCCCGCCAGGGGCAGATGGTCTCCATAGCAGATGGAGACTAGGCCGGCAGTGTCAGGACGGGCTTTCTAGTCTCAGCCTGGCCACTCTGGCTAATAAGACAATCCGGGGGCAGTGACAGGGCTAACTGCCGGTGTGTGTGTGTGTAGGTGTGTAGGAGGGGGAGCCCTGGCCTTATTGGGCCATTCTGGGGGAGAAGTAAAGAGGAGCCCGAGGGTCAGTGGATCTTGGGGGCCCCCTCAAATTTGCCATGTAAGGGTGGCAGGCTGTCAGCGCCTGGGCTCCTGAAGCTGCCCTGGTTAGTTCTCGTGTGAAGGGGCCGGCTTCTGGGGTAGGAGCCTCTGCTGCAGCTGGAACCTGGACCGATTGATGCAGATCCCCTGCCAGGTCCCCAGAGCTCAGGGCCTGGGCAGCAGCTCCTCCCAGAGGACGCGCCCGTTTATTATGCGCTCCTGCTCCCTCATGGCTCAGGCAGGCAGCGGCCTTCATTAGCGGAGGAGCTGGGGTCTGTTTTGGCTGCCTCATCAGCATCAGTGAACTGCGTCCCTGCGAGATTTGATACAATTTAATTAACCTAATTAAAAGCTCTGATTGCAGAGATGATTGGGGTAGCGCCAGCAGCGACTGCATATTTATAATGAGCTGCAAGGTGTGGGACCGCAGCCAAACGCCACGCATCCTAATGAGCGGGAGCCGGGAGCCAGGGAGCGGGAGAGGGAACGTTTATTTTTGGCAACAATGCCCAGTTCCTCCCTGCCAGGGAGTCAGAGACCCAGGGAGCAGAGACGGACCTGCCCGCTGTGCTCTTCCGCACACGGCAGAAGCAGAAATGTGTGCTCTCCACCGGTTCTAGGGCCCTTGGACGCCCCAGGAGCACACACTGCCCGTGTTTCTGTTTGTAGAGCAGGGGACTGGGACCCCAGCCATGCACTTTTCCTGCCTCTCATCTCTGGGAGTCAGGG